CCTCAACAGGAATAACCACGCGCCTACAAGCGATGCCACCGTATGACTGTCTCAACTTCAGCACGTGTAGCAAGGACCCTAGGCGGTTTCGTGCCACGCAGTGCGCTAGAGCAGTGAAGGAAACACAGCGAGAGAAGACCACGCATTTCCTGGCTGCCTGCGATTTTTCCTGCACTGGGGATCAGCATTAGCCGAGGGGAGTCACTATCCTGGGAAAGAGTGCAGACCAGCAGATTTAGGCCGGGCTCTCATGGGTAACCCTATTTACGCCATCCTTAACATTCTTGACACCCTATGCAGAAATTATAATCGCGTCTAGGAAGTCAAACTACTCCTGGGAACAGATTCTCAACGACTTAGGCGATTTGGTGTAATTTCGTACCGGCGTTTGCGGCGCGGGCGCCAAGGACAGCAAGGCGCCGAAAGGTTAAAGGTTGTTCAAGGGTAAGAGCCTAAAACACATTTTTGAAGTTCCTCAAAAAAAAACAGCAGAAAGCGTCGGTGAGGGAAATTATTAAAAAATATCAGTACTACTTCTCACCGTCTGAGAAGATTCGTTGTCACCATAAGAAGATGCCCCATGGGGCCTACCAGCAAGATCCCCAATTACCTTTGTGATTGTTGTTCCCTGTTGAAAATGGACCTGCAAACTAATCCAGTAGAATATTAGACCGATGATTTTGTAAAAAAAACCTATGGCATTTCCCACATTGTGATGTGTAGTCGCCACAAAATCATCGATATTTATTGTTATAATAAGAGATATACAAGATAGAGTCGAAGTCGTAACCAGCACTTCTCCACAACATGCGACAAAAGAGCAGTGGAATGCGAAGCGGCGGTACCTGTTGGAGGCACAGAATAACTTGGAGGGGCTACTCGGCCGCCCCTCTCTGCCCTTTCCCTAGACATGGCTGGAACGCAGAGCGCAGATGACCAGATTACACAGAGTCTAGCCTCGCAGAGCGGACGTATATATCCACATATATCCATAGACTCAAGCAACGGTTGGTGGAAGGGACGAAGACGCGGCCAAGCTGCCCCCCCCCCACCCTTTGCCTAGCCCCACGTCCGGGTAAGATTGGACACGCTGTAGTTACTACACAGACTCTTGTGAAAACATGCTTTAAAACTTTAGTATTTGGAGGATGGTTAACAAAGGAATAAGAATTCTATCAGAAAT